CGCGTAGTCGCGGCGCGTCGCTCTTTCTCCGCCATTTCCACACACTCATCTCTCTCTCTCTCTCTCTTTTTTTTCACTCAAAGTAAACCAACCACCAATATACGACCTCTCTTTTCACGAGAAAATCATCATCACCATCATATGTTTGCTTTTTTTGATCGATTTTCGTTTCTCTCTTCTTTAAATTCAATGCAATTCTTGTTCCGCTTAGAAACAAGAGTTCATTTTGAATTTTCTATCGAATTTTTGATTCAATAAAGTAATGAAAGTTAAAAGTTAATCTTTTTAAATGCAAATGTTTCATTTTCTCATAGCTTATTGATTTAAATTTTCTCATAGCTTATTGAAATCCATTTGAAGAGTTTTCTTAAAGTCAAAAGTCAACTTTACGTAAAATTTGACGCTTATCAAGATGAGCAATCGTTTTATAAAGCTATCGTATTACAAAGCTATCGTTTTACAAAGCAATCGTTTTACAAAGCAATCGTTTTATAAAGCAAATCGTTTTACAAAGCAATCGCTTTACAAAAAAATCGTTTGCAAAGCTATCGTTTTACAAAGCAATCGTTTACAAAACAATCGTCTTACAAAACAATCGTTTTATAAAGCAATCGTTTACAAAACAATCGTTTTACAAAAAAATCGTTTTACAAAACAATCGTTTTACAAAGCAATCGTTTTACAAAACAATCGTTTTACAAAGCTATCGTTTTATAAAGCAATCGTTTTATAAAGCAATCGTTTTATAAATCAATCGTTTTATAAAGCAAATCGTTTTACAAAGCAATCGTTTTACAAAACAATCGTTTTACAAAGCTATCGTTTTATAAAGCAATCGTTTTATAAAGCAATCGTTTTATAAAGCAATCGTTTTATAAAGCTATCGTTTTATAAAGCTATCGTTTTATAAAGCTATCGTTTTATAAAGCTATCGTTTTATAAAGCTATCGTTTTATAAAGCTATCGTTTTATAAAGCTATCGTTTTATAAAGCTATCGTTTTACAAAGCAATCGTTTTACAAAGCAATCGTTTACAAAACAATCGTTTTATAAAGCAATCATTTTATAAAGCAATCATTTTATAAAGCAATCATTTTATAAAGCAATCGTTTTACAAAGCAATCGTTTTACAAAGCAATCGTTTTACGAAGCTATCGTTTTCATTTTCGTTTTGCAAAGTGATCGTTTTCGTTTTTGATCTTATTTTGAATTTCTTTTTAAACTTGGAGATTAAGATGTAAAGGAGCATTTGTCTTGATAGATTTTTTTTTTATATTTTTATCTTGATCGATTTTTAAAAATCAATCCGGCTAGATATCTGATATCTGATCTATTTGATCTATTCTGATTCGAATCTTGATCAACATTCAACATTGAATCAACATTGAAATCAACCAAGGAAACAGGGATTTCTATTTCCTAGTGAAAAAGTAGGAGTCAATGCTAAAATGACTCTTTGTTGTGTACTTTGCTTTTGTCTTGCCTTGGCCTTATTGCCAACGTTCATTTCTTCATTCTTTCGAGACTTATCACTTTTAGCTGCTTCTTTAACTAGCTTTAGTAAACTAGATCTTTAACTAGAACTAGTTTAACTAGAACTAGTTTAACTAGAACTAGTTTAAATAGAACTAGTTTAACTAGAACTAGTTTAAATAGAACCAGTTTAACTAGAACTAGTTTAACTAGAACTAGTTTAACTAGAACTAGTTTAACTAGAACTAGTTTAAATAGAACTAGTTTAAATAGCACTAGTTTAACTAGAACTAGTTTAACTAGAACTACTTTAAATAGATTTTGTTAACTAGATCATCGATTATCAATCACTTGGCCACCATGGCCGACTGGTTAAAAGCTCTTTATCTTAGTCGAGAGGTCGTTCAATCCTAGATTATTGGTTCTTTTTCAAATAAATAGAATTTTTCTATATTTAGAGCTTAGGGTTGCTTGTGTATTGTTTCTATCAAATTATTCTTTTGAATAAATGTGTTTTCTTTGTAGTAAAGCTAATGGGAAAGTCGGAATTGATGCGCGAAGTGATAAGTTATCGAGCAAAAAGTACTAAAGCCTTTAGCCTTTTAAAGTCTTTTAAAGCTACAAAGTACAAAACAGCAATTCTGATTCTTTTTCTGCGTAAATTCTTCTATCAAAAAAAAAGATTGTTTTCCGCGAAATGAACACGATTTTATTGTGACACGAAAAAGCCGGATACAGCTGATTCAACAGTTGATTCAACAGTCGATATCTCTTCCGCCTCCTTGTCACCCAAAAATCGATCCCCAGTTGAATCACCTTTTTCACTCTACGAAATGAAATTTCTTCATTTTTTTCTTATTTTTCTTATTTTTTCCTATTTTTCCTATTTTTCCTATTTTTTCTCATTTTTTCTTATTTTCTCTAGTTTTGCTCAAAAAAAAAGTCGCAAATCTCGTCACTTGTCACTTAAATTTTACGCCAAATTAGCCGAAAAAAGGAGATTTTTTGTGAACTCTCGAGTATTTCACTTTAGAACTTTTAGAAATATTTATGGGGTTGGTGAATTGAAAACTGCCGGACTTTGAACTAAAAATTATTCAACATAAAACCATCAATTCATTTCAAATAATTTCCACTATTATTGACGACTTCTGCCCATTTTACAGGCAATTTGCGGATTCATCTTTCATAGTAGGATTTTGGTTTTAAATCGAAAAACTTTCAAAGCCAGTTTTTGCTTGCTTCTTCCGAATCGAAGAGTGCTCCCGCAAGCTCATGATCCGGATGAATAGTAATCAAAAGGGAAGAGGTCCGGACTGTATAGGGAATGCGCCAAAAGTTCGCATAAATAGCCCAAACAAGGCTATTTATTTTAGAGCGAGTCAGTTTTGCAACATGAGGGCACGCGTTGTCGTGGATGAGAACGATCTTTGACTTGGAGGGCCTATTCTTCTTCAGGGACCCGTTCACCTTTCCCAACTGTTCACCGTATTTGATTGCATTAACGGTCGTCTTGCTATCCAGCAACTCCCAGTACAAGTGTGTGAGACTCAAAAATGGAGAACTGGAGATGTCCCAGTTTGAGCACTTTCTTCAAAAGAAACCCATTTTGGTGTCAATAGAAAAGTTGTAGAGAATCAAAAATTAGGCTTATAGCCAAATTTCCTATTTCAAAATCGATTTTCATTAAACCATTACCTAGATACGAGAGTTTTCAGAAACTATCGTGATTACAAGTTTTTCCAAGGCTCTTTTAGCACATCTCGAGGCGCTAGTCAGATTTACTCATCAGCAAATCCATTTCCTTTGTCAAAAGAAATCAATCAATCGATTTCTCCATCCATGGCATCAAAAGAAAGCAATTGCTTTTGTTGTCCGTTCCCCACGTGGGGATTCCCCTTCTACCTTCCCCTCCACCAGAATTCTTCGATTTGTTTGTCTATTTGTCTCTTTTCTTCATCTCCATTCCACGTAAGGGCTTTTGCGTGAAAGGCGCTCTTTTCCCGAAGACCGGCCACTTTCTGCAAGAACCAAGACTTTTTTGAGTGCGCCCATCGCCTTTTCATTCATTTTTTCATTCACTTTTTCATTTTACTTATTAGCTAGATCTTTTGGGCATTAATTTATAAAATAATGACTTCTTTTGATATTCCCTTTTCAACTAGTACCTAAAAAAAATTTGGGCTATACGAGTTGGCGGGCCAGTGAGCAGAGCCTCAAAAATGCCTCTAACAAATGCCAAAACAGTTTTTCTAGGGTTTTCGGCCACGCTGAATCGATTGATAATATTTTCAGAGCTTGTTTTTGCTGCTTATATTAGGCTATGGCTCAGAGTACTGGCTAGGCATAGGCTTGATGCTGCCTCGAGCGTTGTTAACGTTCTAGACATGTGACGTACTTCCCTCCTTGACGTCCGCGCGTTGTTTTCGTGTTATTTATCTAGGCTAAGGCTCCGCACATATAGCGTACTGACTGAGCACAGCCTAGTATGCTTAAACAGCATTGGCCATGCATAGGTTAAGACAGGTTGGCTCAGCTCAGCCTGCTACCGGACATAAGCTAGATTTGTCTTGACCATAAAGAAATAAGTCACAAACACGATCTAAAAATAATACCAATCGATTCAGCGTGGTCGAAAACCCTAGAAAAGCTGTTTTGGCATTTGTTAGAGGAATTTTTGGAGGCCCCTTCACTGCCGCTCTCCAGCCGTATGGCTATATTCATGGTAACGAATATTTTTGGCTATAGCCAGTCGTATGGCTATAGCCAGTCGTATGGCTATAGCCAGTCGTATGGCTATAGCCAGTCGTATGGCTATAGCCAGTCGTATGGCTATAGCCAGTCGTATGGCTATAGCCAGTCGTATGGCTATAGCCAGTCGTATGGCTATAGCCAGTCGTATGGCTATAGCCAGTCGTATGGCTATAGCCAGTCGTATGGCTATAGCCAACAATTTATATCATGTTAAAGCTGAAAAAACATGATATGCGAAAGCAGAGAAGTGTGCGAATTGCTAAAAAATTGATAGTGACGCGGAACTGATAACAAATGAAAGAATTCTCCAAAAAAACAGCTTAAATACTGGTTTAAATTAAATGTTCAATAGTTAATTGAATATCATGATCTAGAGTTTGTTTATATCAAACGTAAATTTTGAAAGTCTTCTTTTTTCACCTACATCAAGAACCCAAGCGTTAAATCTATTTTTTTTAATCCTAGGCGTCCCTATTCTCTATTTTCTATCGATCACGTGTTTATATCGTTTCTCCCTCAATTCTTCTTTCCTTTCCCACCTTTTCCCATTTCGCCTATCGTTCAATTTCTTCTCTATTGTTCCTCGCCGCCAAACAAATGCCCGTTTTTGCCCGTTCTTGTTTTCTCATGTCTGTTCTTGGCACTTTTGCCATTACGAGCCGTTCTTTGCAGGTTTTCTGCTATTTCTTTCTTTCTTTTTAGTGATTTTCTAAAGGTTTTACTTTAGGAACCGATCCACATTGGACACGAAACATCGAAACGTTTACAAAAGGATGGCCCGCGCACAAGTGCGACTCAATGTCTACGATATGGTAAATGTTTTGGTGGTTTTGTGAACAAAAACTGAGTGGATTAAATAGATTAGTAGAATAGTAGAATAGTAGAATAGTAGAATACGAGTAGATTAATGTTTTAAGCTTAAAAAGCCCCAGCTTTTTGATCATAAGCTAGAAATATTTTTGATTAAGTTGTTCCACTAAAAAGAAGCACAAACTTTCCTCTTTTAGTATTGGTTGAACGAATATGCCTCGAACGTTGGTGTCGGCATTTTCCATTCCGGCATCGAGGTTTATGGAATTGGTAAGGAAATTTTTTGAGCTATTTTATTCTGATCGTTTTCGCTGATAAAGCTCATCTTTAGAATATGCGTATGGCGGCCATCCATTCACGTTTTCCGGTGTTTTCGAGAATAGCCCCCAAGATGCCGAGGAACTCGGCGAGAATTTCAAATTCAGGTACAGCATAACGTTATTGATCCAATCAAATTTTGGTTTAGGGAGTCTATTTCGATCGGTGAAACCGACTTCACAGCGGCTGAGGTGCGAACATTAATCAAGGAGATTGGCAAGGATTTTAGAGGCGATAAGTGAGTGTTTTTGAATTTGCCAACAGCTTAAAGATCCTTTTGAAAGCCGCTCAGTTATTGGTGAGTTTAAATGTATGCTTAAAATTTAGGTACCATCTGATCTCCAGGAATTGCAATCACTTCACCGCGGCTTTCGCGAAGGTTTGTTGGTTGATTTTGTTTTGAAAATCTCGAGCTTTTAGGAATTAACTGGAAAAGAAATTCCCGGTTGGATCAATCGATTGGCCGCCATTTCTGGATCGATCCCCTTTTTGGAACGGATGCTCCCGCAAGAATGGTTAACACCAGTGGCTTTGCAACAAGTATGTTTTGTTTTATTCAATGAGCTTAATGCACTTTCAAAGCTTATTGTTTATCCACTTTGCAAGCGAGAACATAAAATCCTATCAAGGTTTAACAATTTTAGGAATTACACAGAAGAATGGTTGGTAACAAGAAAATCTGAACGTTGTGCTAGTTGTTTTTCTTTTTTCTTGATCTTTTAGAAATTTTCATGTGCAAAGTGTTTCTGATTCCTGAGTTATTATTAAAGCAATTTGCACATGATAAGCTATCGATTTTGTTTAGAGTATCGATGAACGAGATCGAGAAAGGGACCGAGAGCGGGAACGGCAAAGAGAGCGAAGAGTGGAATCGATTGAAAAAGCAGAAGAAGCGACCGAATCGGCGATTAGGAGACAGTTAAATGGTAGATATTATTTTTCTTTTTCTAATGTTCATATTAACAATAAAAGTATTCATATCAAAATAAAAGTAATTACAATTTAAAAAGTTTGACAAGTCTTTCAATTTTAGACTCTCAAACAACGATGCTGAATGGATATGCGGGACGAGGGAGCCTCACGACCCATCATGAAGATGCATCCTCAAGCAGGTGAACATATTCGATCTTGTTTCTTTTAGAAAGTTTAATTTTAGTTCCTCTTCATCAGACGTCTCTTCGTCACCCTCAATCACTCGATGGTGGAATCAATTGAAGACTTCGATGACCGCGGGAATGACATTGGGAACTGAAGCAACACAGACGCCTCGATAAACGATGGGGATGTATATTATAGGTGAGGTATTGTTTGTGTTAACCATTTAAGTACAAGAATGTTAGATGTAAATCTGGTTTACAGGGTGATACATATATAGTGTTGCGCTTAATGTATCTTTTTAACTTTCAAAGAAAATACGTTAACCTAAGCTGAAAAACAAGAATTAATCTTAAAATCTGCGCATAATTTTACATAGAATAGGAGAAGTAAGCTTTTCAAATGACTTTAACAACCCTAACCAAGCAGTACAAAAAATGCTATGCGGATGCTGAAAAACAGTTAGATTCGAGTTTGGGGTCTCTAAAAAATCGTCTTTTTCTTCATTAATACGTTTTTGGAGTTAATTACTATAAAACGTAGTGCTTTTTGAGCTCCATTATTGTTATCTTGTTATATTGCTAACAAGTTATCTTGGCTAACAAAAATGGACACATTTTTGACAAATTTCATTTTTTAAGAGCACCAATTACGTTTAAAGTCTTATATTAAACGAATGAAGTTTTAAATTCTTACACAAACTCATGAATCTATTGAAAAAATTTGAAGTTTGATTTGATTTCGTAGATTTGAAATCTCTAAACGAAAAAAAAGTGTCAACTCTTTTGGCCTGTTTTTGAGAAAATCATTCTTTTGTAGAGCGCAAAACTATATATGCCTCATCCTGTATTGGAAAAATAGGCCAAGCCTAGGAAAACATGATGTTACAAAGTTCAGTTTTTGAAATCTTTTCAATTTTTTATTTTAGGCCCCGTGTTCGTTTCATCGAGAAAGAAGTGCACACACATCTTTCGGTTACGTGTTTCCTTCGGTTCTTTTCCCTTCTATTTGGCTCATATTCTAGAATCACTATGTAGAAGTTTTAGCTTACATATTTTTGCTAATCAAGCTTTATTTTGTACTACGTTTCTCCCCCCGCGAAGAACTTCTCATGAATTTGCGATAAATTGCCACACATTTAACGAGTGAAACGAGGTGATTATTTCTTTTTGTTTGTTTATTTTGTGTAAATTTTCTTGACAATTCGTGCTTCTAGCCTACCTTGCATCATTTGTCATCATCATCATCATCATCATTATTTGTCTTTGTTTTTCTATTTTTCCCCATTATATCAGTTGGTGTCACTTATATCTCCTGGCCTTATTTTATGAACTAATTTGTATCATATTTCCCACTTTATGCCCTCCTAGTGAATATTATGAATTCCCCTTGTATGATTTTTTTTTAAAGTGTCAATAAAATTGATAACTTGAAAGAGCAAATCACCAGCGCTGGGTTACTGTAGCTTTACTGTAGATTACTGTAAAAAAAAGCTAAATAAAAAAAAATCAAGTTGATCAAATGGAAGCTTGAGTAAATGTGTGAGATTTTTGCTTTAAGCAATTTTTGGGACAATCAATTGTTCTGTAGACAGACAACTCTATTCTTGGGCACCACAAATTGGCAATCATATCAAATATCGAGCATTTGATCTCCGCTTTGAGTGTTCCCCATACACTTTTCTTCCATTTTCTTCACTCATAAGACATTCACGTGTTTCTAATGAATAAATGATGAAGCGCTTGACGGGGATCGCAACAGTGAACGGGAAAGAAAAGAAGAGAAATGATTGAAGATTGAAGCTGTTGTGGTCAGTGCTTGTTCCGGGAGAGAGACTCGAGTTTTTCTCGAGTTTCTATTCTTTTCATTCTTTTCATTCATATTTCAACGTTAGCCACTTTTTTTGGGAAAACATTTTGTCCACTACATTTAGCTACAGTAAACCAGCTAGAATTGTGCCCTATGATTATGCGTTGAGGAATTTTTGAGCTGGTTCAATTACCCAAGTATTTCTGGATCCTATTCTACAGACAATCCTGTAGACAGTGTGCCAGATAATGTGTCTTTTGATGAGAAAAGAATGCATAAATCAGGCTTTAGAGTCGCTTAGCTTGTTTTGGTCAACTTTACTTTCCAATCAACTAATCCGTTTCCTAAAAGGCATCGATTTTAGATAAAATACCGTAATCTGGCCCGCAGTTTTGATTTGATTGACCCAATTTTGATTGCATTCGATATCGGAAATCACAAGGCTTAATGTGTGAACAAAAATTGGGATCAACTAATGGAATTACTTGCAGATTACGGTAGCTTTTTGAAATAAGTGCTTTTTAGGAACCACATGTAAATTTTGTGAGGATAGAGGCTCTTTTCTTTGTAAAAATTCAAAGCTTAAACTTGCTCGTCGTTGGGCTTTTGATCGATCTAATCACTAAAGCGATAAGTGACATTTTTTCAATGTGAATGTGAACTCCTTTAGACCACACACATCCGGAAACACGATGAAGGAGATGTTTTTTTTCTTTTCGCCGAGGAGATGTTTTTTTTTCTTTTCTGCTTTCCCATCGATGGGAACTCTCTAATCTTATTTCCCTTCAGGAGCTTCTCGTTCTTCTTCTCTTCTCATCCATCTCTTTTTTACCAGTTCCTCCTTTTTCCGGAAGATTCACTCATCTCGCCTTTACCCGTGAACACAGAAAATGGTATTGGGTTTTTATGAAAACTTCTTTTTTCAATATTTCGCTATCTTTCAAAAAAAAAAAACAATGAATAGCTCAAAGCTGGGCCTAAAAGCCAATTTGGATGTCTCTAGAATTGTCTCTAGAAAGACCCGGGTTCTATCACGCGTCAGAAAACTTTTACAAACTTCAATTCAATTTTTAGAGTTAAACTGTTCACAGTATGAGGAACCATCTATTTCATTTGCTTCTAGTTGATTGATTCTCTTTTGACCGGCTGAAAGATGAGAGTAATCGCTCTGAGATTTGCTTGGACTTCAGAAAAGAAAACTTCTATAAGATCCAATCTATCTATCCAATCCAATCTATCTGTTTTTAAATAGAAGCCATAAACATCATTAATATTTCTGCCCCTGGTCCACCGGTTCATGGCCCAGGTTCTTAGTACGAGAAGCCTAGCCAGAACAAGTCAGAACAAAGCTAGAACATGCCAGAACCAAGCCAGAACAAACAAAAAACAAAGCCAGAACAAAACAACGGCTTCTTTCTTTTCTTTTCCCCTCCTCTTCCTCCTCTTCCTCTTCCTCCTCTTCCTCTTCCTCCTCTTCCTCTTCCTCCTCTTCCTCAAGTTTTTAATGTTTTTAAACTAAGGAAGCGAAAAAAAACGCAAACTGCCTCCCGTAAATTAACTGTTTTAAACAAAACCTCACTGTCAACTCTCAAAAGCCATCATTGAAACTGACTTCCGGCTTGGATTAAAGAAGTCTAGAGAACTACTTTAGATTAGAGAACTACTTTAGATTAGAGAACTTTAAAACTTCAGGAATTTTATACTTGAATTGTCAATACTTGAAATAGTCAGCCCTAACTCAGCCGTTCACTGCCAAGCGCAGAGGAGCAAAAGGAACACAAATGAATCACACTTTTCTTCCTCTTTTTTTTTTGCTTCACTCTTTCAGGAGAGCTTCCCACTTTGAGCCCGAGAAAGTGTTTTACTTGAGAACCCTTGTTTTTCCCTTCTTTTCGCAGCTTTTCTCAGCTTTTCACCTACATCCGTGATTTCCGCAGAAATCCTTTATAGTTCCTTTATAGTTCCTATTTAGTTCCTTTAAAGCTCCTTTAAAGCTCCTTTTAAAGCTCCTTTATAGTTCCTTTATCGTTCCTCTTTAGTTCCTCTCTAGTTCCTTTAAAGCTCCTTTAAAGCTCCTTTAAAGCTCCTTTATAGTTCCTTTATAGTTTCTATTTAGTTCCTTTAAAGCTCCCTTAAAGCTCCTTTAAATCTCCTTTATGGTTCCTTTATCGTTCCTATTTAGTTCCTATTTAGTTCCTTTAAAGCTCCTTTAAAGCTCCTTTAAAGCTCCTTTATAGTTCCTTTATATTAGGTTGGTGCAAAAGAAATTTCGGTCGATATAAAATGTTCTGTAGCGACGTTGGAGGGATGTCATAGATAATAATGGTGCTTATTGTTTTAAATAAATTGTTATCAAAAAAATTTTGGATGACTTTAATGTTTGTAAAAAAACGAAATTTCATTTGCACCAACCTAGTAGTTCCTATTTAGTTCCTTTAAACCCTTTTTAAGCGTTCTTTTGCCTTCCTTTTCTGCTTATTTTATTCAATATTTGATTAACTTTCTTCAATTACAGTACTCAAAACTTTTTTTCAATTACAGTAATTGCTCGATCGAATGCTACAGATCGAAATGCTAAACGACACTCAAAAACCTCAAAACTTGACTCACAAGATGCTCAAAGATCAGGTGAATCAATGAAAAACGACTAAAAAGTTGGATTTCAAACATTTCAAACAGATTTCAAAGGGATTTCATAAAGAAAATCGATTTTGAATTGAAAAATTGAAAAAATAGATTTGAAAAGGATTTAACATGAGCAAAACTTTATAAGAATTCCATCAATTTCAACTTTTTAACATGATTTTTAGAGATTTTTTCGAAAATATTGGGTTGGTGAATTGAAAAATTGCCGGACTTTGAACTTTGAACTAAAATTGATTCAACATAAAACCATAATTTCATCCCAAATAATTTCCACTATTATTGACGACTTCTGCCCATTTTACAGGCAATTTGTGGATTCCTCTTTCGTAGTAGGGTTTTGGTTTTGAATCGAAAAACTTTCAAAGCCAATTTTTGACTGCTTCTTCCGAATCGAAGTGTTCCCCCGCAAGCTCATTACTCATGATCCGGATGAATAGTAATCAAAAGGGAAGAGGTCCGGACTCTATGGGGAATATTTTTTCGTCTCTGAACTATTTTAAATCCTCAATATATAAGCTCGATCTTGTAGCTCTGTCAATTTTAAATTAGTTTTTAATGTCATATATACACGTGTCTAATTGTAGTTGTGTTTGTATATCAATTATCTTTCTTCGTCTACGCTGTTCAATCTGTTTGCATTGTCACTTTTCCTTGTCGGATAAAGTATATATACGGAATGCGCCAAAAGTTCCCAAACAAGGCTATTTATTTTAGAACGAGTCAGTCAGTCAACATTAGGGCGCAAAAATGGAGGACTTGAAAGCTGGAGATGTCCCAGTTTGAGCACTTTCTTCAAAAGAAACCCATTTTGGTGTCAATGGAAAAGTTGTAGAGAATCAAAAATCAAGCTTATATCCAAATTTCCAAAAAGATACACTTAATAGTTTCGCTTAAAATGCAAATTTTGTTGCAAGTTTTGTGAAAATTCGTAAATTTGGCATTTCTTGAAAACCAGTTTTTGAATCGTTCTGAAAATTTTGATATAAGCTTGATTTTTGATTCTCTACAACTTTTCCATTGACACCAAAATGGGTTTCTTTTGAAGACTGGGACATCTGGAGCTCAAACTGGGACACTGGGACATCTCCAGTCCTTCATTTTTGTGTCTCCAGTAGTTTTCGTATCCAATAGATTGAGATTAGCCTTGATTTGAGGAGAAGTCAATGTCCAATTTGAGGATTCGGAGCCGACCAGAGTAGTTTGGGAAAGGGAGAGGGAAGGGGGTTATGTAAAAGCCCTGCACCAGACGACGAGCGATTACGCGGCCGCACGAAGAACACACGGAACACACAAATTTTAAGCGAAATTACTAAGTGTATCTTTTTGGAAATCTGGATATAAGCTTGATTTTCGATTCTCTACAACTTTTCCATTGACGCCAAAATGCGTTTCTTTTGAAGAAAGTGCTCAAACTGTCACATATGACAATAGCCGGCAGTTTTCAATTCACCAACCCAATAATCCCTTTCAGAATGCTCTTCAAAACGCAACGACTCGCGCCGAGATTTTCCTTCCGATCACTCTCCGTTTCACTCACCAATCGGTAAATTCCCCAAATTTTACCTTCTTTTCTTTGCTC